TAAGGAACTAACGATTGAGAGATTAAATTACTTTAAAAATTATCGTCACATGAATGCGACCACTAATCAAATTATTTAATATAATAAATAGCGTTATTTTTATTCATATATTGTATAGTATTGTTGTGTTGGGTGTAAAAGAGCCAATATATAAGTGCAAAATTACTAATGAAAAGTAAATGCATATAGTGTTGGAAATTATAGTCCCAATGGATTTGGTCGATAAAAATTATGAAATAAGTGAATATTATATTTGTTGATAAAATTTAATGCCTAAAAATAAAAATGTTATTTATTGTGCACAATAGCAAAGAGAAATAAATTATTTAGATTGCATTATCTCATTATCTGATAATTATTTTTATTATAAATTTTGTGAATATAAAGAATAAACAGAATAATAAACAAAGAATTAGAGAAAACGCTAAAAGAAGAGATGAGAGAGAGTATGTGAGTGAGTGTGTGAGAGAGGTATATATGTTATATGAGAGCACTGGTATGTGTGTTGAAGAGAGAGAGAGAGAGAGAGAGAGAGAGAGAGAAGGGGAAGTGAATGGAAAATAAATATTTGATGAAAACTTAAAAAATAGACGAAAATGAGTTAATATATAACACTGTATATTAGTTTAAGCAGAAAAGCCGATGTTTTATATGGCATTGAAATCGCGATTATTGCAGAAATTATTTTTTAAAATAAAGAAACATATGAAGAGATGGGGATCTATATTACAATATAATATCAATAGTGGAGTTAAGTAGTGAAGTGCACCCATTTATTTGCTTTTTGTTAGTCTAATGTTTGCCATACATTCACTGGTAATAGAATCTGATTTCAATGGCTGTTTATAAGAGCACTTCTCCTTCAGTCCAAAGCCCTATTGTATGACATAAATGAGTGCCTAAACGATACGGAATCCAATGATGGCTTCATTGCCACCACTTTTATCATAAAACTCTCCACTTTTTCCGGATTCATGTTTTTTGTGTTTCATTAGATATCCATGTCTTGCATGTCATATCAATTCACTATAAATATTGCACACAATTATTTGCACACATAATTACATAACTATTTATTATTAATATCTAATTCGCTAAAATATGAATGCAATATAAAAATGCATTACAGTATAATCAACGAGAATAATACTAATAATAATTAAGTTGGAAAACTAAACGTACAAAATATATATTGTATTCAATAAATCTTTAAAATTATGAACAAAAACTATTTACAAGTAGAATATTTGATAATTTAAATAATTTGAATTTTGATCACATTTTCATTTATCGCATACAATAACAGTATATATGTATAAACTGTATATTTTAGTGAAATATCAATAGAAATGTGATCCGGAAGGGAGAGGTGGCAGAGAGTGGTGGCGATGGCATCACATCATAATAGACGCATCAGATAACAGAGCGGTGGGCGCACAGACCCTACGGAAATAGTGGCCATACTTTGTCTCCATTCATATGAATGGCACACTTGTATCGATAGAAGCGCTAAACCTTAATATGAGGGCTAAAACGAGAGCTGACGTGAAGTAAAGGGAAGACTAATAAAATAATAGGAATTGATTTTTGTTGCCATAAAGAAATAGAGATGAGAAAGAGATCGACGGCTTTATATACAGGATATAAATATAATGTATCTCTAAATGATTAAAACTTAAATTATTATTACAATAACAGAGTTATTGGCAATCATTTTGTATATGTTTTCAAAAAAAAGTTTCATATTTTGGGTGCACACAAAAAATTGAAATATTGTTCATTTGTTTTGTGTGTTTGCAATAATCATAAAACTATAAAAATAGCGGAAAAAGAGTAAAAATATAGTAAAAAATGAGATAAAAATAAAGACTCTTTTAGTGCACATCTGCTAATGTAAAGTAAAGTTATAAAAAATAATGCACTCGTTTTTATATACAGTTAATGTCATTGTTATACAATAGGGCACTCATTGCCGAACAGAATCCCCTTTTTGTAAGGCATATTTCGGTGTACATATATATGGTGTATATGTGATGGTGAATGTGATGGTGAGGGTTGTTATTACAAAAGCTAGCAAATTAGCTGCTCGGCTGGTATGGCAGGCATAGCATCGTATGTGTGGCTATAGTATGGATCGGCTCAGAGCTCGTCAATAATTCATCAGTCAGTCAGACGATCGAAATACTATTTTTACAAAGACTCCCAACAATGTTATACTAACTGTTTGTAGAGAGAGAGAGAGAGAGCATGTGCTCGCACTTTATATGAACAAATGACTTATATGTGCTTCAAATTATATAAATTAACAAAATGCTTTTTGCTTATTATAATAACGATAACATAGCAAATATAAGTGGATTGAGACTTATTTTCAGAATAATCAATCTCTTGGTAAAGAATTGAAAGATTGGAGAGAGAGAGAGAGAGAGAGAGAGAGAGCATGTGCTCGCACTTTATATGAACAAATGACTTATATGTGCTTCAAATTATATAAATTAACAAAATATTATATAAATTTATGTGTAATATTTCTTGTCTGACTATTATATCTCATATTCATATCAACAATGGTTTTAATTGTTTCTTACATTCTCATCAAAATCACACCTTTACTCAAATAATAATTAGTTAATTCTTAAATTAGATTTTTAAAAATTGCCATAAATGTTGAATTAAACAATTAAAGTAATATCTCATACAATATTATATTTGATATAATTTTTTTATTAACTTAAAATTTAAATAAAATTTTGTAGAAAACAAAATAAAATACTAGACTATAAATGATAAAACAATAACTCAATATATGATGAGATGGAGAAATGTAGTGCACAAACGGTATGTAAGGGCAGAGGCTTTTATTGTGAAGTTGCAGTGAATGAGAGAGAAGCCCCCGACGGCCAATCAAATATATATAGTCTCTGATAAATCAAATCTAGGAATTGGTCTTTCGATGTACGGATAAAAATATATATTATATAACGTTATAACTGTATACAAAGCACAGTATAAAGTATACGTGCACTTAGTCTGTGCGCTGCCATAAAAAAGTTAACCTAACTTTTGTGTAGTGTAGAGAGAGAGAGAGAGAGAGAGAGTATGTGAGTGAGTGTGTGAGAGAGGTATATCTGTTTGTATGATGTGTGCATATGAATGGCTGACAAGAGAGAGAGAGAGAGAGAGAGAGAGAGAGAGAGAGAGAGAGATGGAAAAGTGTACACAAGATGTGTATTTCGAGTGGACAGACATATCCACTGTAGTAGTTGTGGAGACGTAATGCACACAAGTATTTCGTGTGAACATTATTTGAGTGAAAAGAATTTGGGATATATTTGAGTGAATGGATGAACGCTTAGAGTAAAGCAAAATATGCATCAAAATTTGAGTCCTAATACTTTTTCAGTGATGAGCATAACATCGTCTAAAACTTGTGATATTTAAGCTTTTAATCCTCGTAGGCTTGGTTTTGTTGCCTTTCATTTTCATCCTACTGTACAATATATAACTTTATGTAGATTTACTCATTTAGATTCAATTGCGATATAAAAGTACAGCAAAATCTCTAATTTATTTTTCTTTTAAGTTATATTCTCAGCGTTTGGATGGACTCTAAGCTCCATTTAAATACAGTTTAAAATATTATGGTAAAAATAAAATTGCCCATTTATTCATTTAGATATAAGTAAATCGCGGAGATATTGAGATGAGTTAAGCAATTCATTTAACATCACTCTTTCACTCTTTGCCTAAATATATGATAACATTTAGAGCACCAGAAAAGGAAGAGAAAGTTGTGATTCAATCACACAATGAATACGAGTTTAGTTGTATTAACAGAACTAAATGCGGCAAAAATGTTGGCTTTGCTTTTGTTATACAACATATAGAGTATTCGCAAAAGCATTGGCAAAATGATGGGGCAGACCATCAGACCATCTGCTCAACTCAAGAGGATTATATGTTACAATTGGGGGAAAACCTCATCAGCCGGTACTACACAACCGTATTATAGTGTCAGACCTGTTCTCGTGCTTCAATCAAGTGCATCAACAATACAAACCATAAATTACTGATTAAGTCTTATAATAAATAGTACTTCAAATCAGTGTCTCTTTCAACGACATAATCATAAATAATAACAACTCCAATATATGTGTCCGAAATGTCACCCAAAATTTGTGTCCAAATTTAAATATCTAAATACACGGCAATAACTGTAACGCAGAGTCATTATTGGTGTTTGAATTCAAATATTTGTATTCAACAAAAAAATATTAAATTCAATAATAGATTTAGACGTTTCAATAAATATTTGGCATCAATTAAGAGAAAATAGTATTTTTCTTTAGAGATTATGAAACAAAACGATAGGAATGATAGGAACCACTCATTACAATAGGAGAGGAGCGACGGCTCTCGAGATGTACGTAAAATCGGGCAAATGTTATCATTTTGCAGGTCTGAACGCACGTCGCGTACGCCAGTCGTACGCCCTTTCATGATGAGGGCACGTGTCGGGGCTTTACTATCAATACAGGGCTCTTCTCAGTTGTGATAATATCTCCCTTTCCTCACTATGAATGACAAAAAATATGATATCCGAGACCTACAGATCGTATCGTAAAAAGAGCACACGTTTTACGCTTATTATTATCCAAACCTATTCTCTACTGTTTTGTGCAATAATTGCGTTCAAAAGCATTACTTCTCTCAATGCATACGAAAGCTATTTGAATATTTTATACGATATGCAAAGCGTAACACATATATGAAAATGCATTCATTTTTATCCTTTTTATGCATCAAATTATGTTCATTCATATATTCATTGAATAATTTTGAGGGTTTCACACATTTTATAAAAACATTTGTGACATTTAATGAAAAATATATTTGAATTATTTTCTATCCAACACAACAACAAAATGCTTTTCAAATTATTTTGGTTTTCAGTTGTTTTAGTATAAAAATAGTATACGAAAGAAAAAATGAGATAAAAATAGTGAGTCTGTTGTGTAAACTTACCGATCGATGATCACTGGATCAGAAGGGGTCTCATTTCGATTACCACAGCTTTTCTTATCGCAACAGCGGCTGAGGTTATGGTTAAGAAATGAAAGCAAAAACACAAAGTGAGACAAACAATAGAGAAAATGATTGAATTGTGAGAAACAATAATAAATGAATGAATTGATGGCAAAACTCAATTACCTGCACATCACCTCATGGGTGAGCAAAACGCGACACATCTCCGGATTCTTGTCCTGACCCTCATATATGATTGCCTTTTCATACAAAATAAATAGAAATACATTTTAGTTATATTTATATATTATCCAAAATAAATCCAATAAACAACGTGTCAATACAAATACAATGAAATATTAATTTATGTCTTATTTGTTATAACAATATAATTGCGAATTAAAGAGCCATTTGTTTCATAACAAAGAGCTGGTGTATTGAATACATTGAATTTTATGCTCCTTTCGTTTTGAATCATTTCATTATTCAAATGTTTGAATTTTTCATTTTTTAATAGAGAAAACTCTAATAGAGTAGAACACAAGTGAACAGGTTTTTTGTCCGACCCCTACACCCATATGGGCTACAATTATCACAACATTGCAGGCATTGAATCGGTGCCTAACTATTATAATGGTTTGTAATAATCATTGAATCAAACTGAAAAAGGAGAGAGAGAGAGAGAGAGAGCACTGGTAGATATGGTCGACTGACATCTGCTACAATGAGACCTCGATATATGTGGTGTTTTTATACAATACAACTAAAGTATATAATGTATTTTAGAGGGCTAGCGATATATGCATTCATTCGTGTCATTTTTGGTCTCTCCCTTTCCTCTCTATCCCTAACAACACTTGTTAATAGAAAACATCTCTAAACCAAACACCAAAAGCTTTTCGATGTTTATAATATACAGAATATTATAGTCTATGCACTCGGACTACAAGTGCACTAAAAACGAGACATGTTTTGCAAGAAAGTGTCATTTGAGAGGCAATGACTATACGATGCAATGATTGGGTTTGAAGACTTGACAATCAAATGATAACCAGAATTTGATTCATAAATCTGTTGAATTGATAAACACATAGAGAGCGAGCTTTTGATAGAAAAATGGGCTCATATGAGGACTGGCAGGTGGCCTAATGAGAGCATGTGTTCACTATATCAAAGTATATACAATACAATATTGTGAAGTCGTTTTAACGATGAGGAACACAACAATTGTACAAATTATAACTATTGGGGCTCACAATCAATGGACATCATATCACATCTCAAATAGCTATTCATAAAAATTGCTTTTATTGTGAATTTTACTAATAAAACAAATTCTCTAAAGGATCGAGAATTACACAGAAGTACTGTATATAACTATAAATCCTTCATTAAATAAAACATTCAAACTTTTCATTATTTTTTTGTGCATTTATTCTATATATAAATAAGTTTAACAAAATCTTTACAAAAAAAGTTTTCGTCTCTTTAAATACCAATTAGAGTGAGAAATATAATCACTATTTGTTGAAAATAAGTATCTATTTTTGCATAAATATATCTCAAATTTATTCTTAAATGATTTTTAAAGCAAAATAGTTTGCTTTTTGCTTATTATAATAACGATAACATAGCAAATATAAGTGGATTGAGACTTATTTTCAGAATAATCAATCTCTTGGTAAAGAATTGAAAGATTGGAGAGAGAGAGAGAGAGAGAGAGAGAGACTTTAGTTGATTCTCCTAATTATTGCGAGAGCATAGATGTATGGTATAGATGGTAGTGAGCGCCTATGTGTGCCTCTGCCTGTGCCCAGACAAGCGTTTGATTGATCCAACGAAACGTTTCATTGAATCTACAAAAAGATGAGACTCTAACACAGTGTTTGGATAGCGAGAGCACCAGTACTTGCATTACTGGAAGTGATGTCTAAGAGCTGGTGGTTGTGTACACTATACTGACTATAGTGTGACTGAATAGTGTATTCATTGGTTTGGAACAATTCATTCAATCCAATGGATTGCTATTATTGTGTCACTCTTTAAAACAATTGTCAAAATTAAAGCCGATATTGGCGTTAGTGTTGTTGTGTTTAACATTTGCTTTGGGGTCTCTTTAAAACACTATCCATTATATAACAAGGTTTACATTATTTGGACAAAATTTTGAGAGTTTTATATTTTATATTATACAGCATATGGATTACAATATGATGGCAGTAGTCGGCAAGTCATTCAACGATCGCCCGCCCGTACGATACATGTATGAGTACTGCAACTCTCAAATATAATAGTGTAGTACACAGTATGCTATATAGTGTTATACAATTCTCAAACTCTGTCCTCTCAAATATTGTCAAAAATGTAGTTTTAGTCATTCAATGCTCTCAATCCACTCTAAGCCATAAATGTATATAATCTCTCCTAAGCCTAACATCTCAATAGCTATGTGCTCTCTCTCTCTCTCTCTGCCTCTGTTGGGGAAAATCAATACACTTTTTGACTATACGGTCAAAAGCAGCTAATTTATCATTTGGTGGTTTTGTTTTTATGAATAACACGCTTCATCTCCACTACTGATGCCCCACAATATCAATGCAATACTCTCTGCAAACACAGCACTCGTGTATGAATTGCAGCGAAAAAAGCTATTGATATATAAATTTATAAGTTATTCCAAACCATAAGTTGGAAATATTCCTCTCTCTCTCTCTCTCTCTCTCTCTCGACTCTTCTCTCTATTTGTTTACTCAATAATCAAATAAAATATAGATTTCTCTGAATTGAATTTAATTGAAATATTCATAAGTCTTATTAAAATAGCAAACACTACTATTTTCTTTACATCGTTTTATATGCATTTATGTAATTGAAAGACAAATATTTGTAAATTAATAAAAATTAATATGAAATACATTATTTCCTCGCTTTATATTATTAACAGCTATTATATAATATTATATACAATATTAACTCAACAATTATATATAACTAAACTCTTGGATTTTTAATATTTTTCAGCGCATAGTAATCACAATGAATTAACTGACAAAGCATTCAATGATTTGTATGAAACTAATGATAACCACAAATATATTACACAATGATTTATGGATAACAAGCACTTTGAATGGAAATCAAACTAATAAACTAAATGCAAATATCAATACATCATTCGGTTATGACATTGTTTTCTCTAACATATCGTATACTAGTATATGAATAGCGATATATAAAAAGATAACATAAATGTTATTTTGTATTCAACGATGCATTTGTTGACAAATAAACGCAACACACAATCGATGGCATAAATTAATTGAATTGATTGACTCGTAATGTAGAGAAAGACATGAAATGCATACCTGTTTGGTGACTGAGTCGATGAGACGGACGTACAGATCCTGCTCTTGTCTGACACCTGTTTTCATACAAAAGACGAACAACTCTTACAATAAATAATTGATTTAATGCTTTTTGAGATACAGTCAGACTCGACAATAACGGAATCACAGAATTTCGGTGTTAAGGAAATTTGGTGATAATATATAGCGAGTGTTTAAAAGCGCTGTTATTTTAATATGAATGTCAATTAACTTGAATATAACGGGGCCTGATTTTAAGGTACATTTTTTGGTCTCACTAATCGATTCTGTTATTGTCGGTAAGACTGTATGTATTAACCGATCGATTGAATGCAAGCTTTGGCGGAGGCTTTTCACTTGCACTCCATCTCCGCTAACACTCAATACGTTTGAAATGTATTTCAACGAAAACACTGAACACAAGGATTAAAGGTTTTTGTGGAAAGAAACTGAGAAATAGATAACAAATTACAGTACCGTTTGCGTAGAGAAGTTGAAGTCTATAATGGATGCCATTATTTGTTTTTTGGCCCTCACTCTCCTGAATATCACACAAACAAAAAAACATATTTTATTTAAAACACAAGAAGACATGTTAGCGATGTTTAAAAGCATTTATCTTTAAGAATAATGAAAAGTGATTTTTTAGTGGCGAACAAATACCTGATCTTTTTCGACGAAACCGATGAATGTGGTCCTCTCGACCTCCACGGGTTGGCCCGCCTTATCATAGAGTGCTATAACAAAGTGGAAGAAATTGCTTTTCCTTAAGTTGGACGGCGGCTGCTTCTCGAAGTGCGCTCGACCTAACCCAACACTATTCACGTTCAGATTCACACATTAATATATTTTTATAACAATATAACAGCGATTTGAATAACAATCATGTCTTCCATAGAAACACAGATAACAGAGCAACGAGTTTAAGAGAAATGGCGGAAAGCCATACAGAATTTGAGATTCTCACAGCCTATCGGATAATTGGATATCTTATGTCTCGGAGCAAAGGGTTATGGATATAATGGATGGTATGGAGGAATGGTGTAAGTGTTAGTGACAAACCTGGCAACAGCAGCTTGGTCAAGCATAGATGATTGCATCCATGCGGCACCTGAACGAACGCCGTGATGGTGATGGTGGTGATGCAACTGCGCGTGCGGGTGATGTGCTGTCGGCACATGCAGTGACGGCTCTTCCTTGAGCGCGGCGGTGGGCGCCATACACGGCCCCCGCGGCTGATGCAGACCTGCCGTATCACCCGAATGGTGCAAACCGAACATCGAGGACACCGAATACGCCACTATTGGGCCGTTTATGGCTCGACACTCACGTCGGGCGCACTCTCTCACTGAATATATTGAATGTTATATTCACTCACAGTGTTTGGCTTTTGGCACCGAAAACAGTGTTTGCGTTGAGTTTTGGTTTCAGTATTTGTTTAGAATATTACTTTGCGGCCAATTATTAGTTGTAAAATGTGGTCACTTTTCGGTCGCCAATAGTGTCCGAAAAAATATTTAACGATTTCTCGTTTTAAATGAAACGTTTGTTTTCACATAAAAACTGGAAATACTAAACAAGTGATTAGGGATTTAGTCTTAAGTCATTCAAACCACATGTGATTTGATGGCACTGATGGCACTCACTATTCAATACTAGTGGCAATAATATGTCTCTTGCCGTGCAGTCGATACCTTTCCCATAGGAAGCAGTCTCGCACATGTTGATGGCTGTGCGATGTCATACAACAAGTGCAACCAACACATACCCGACC